ACTTCTTCCAAATACAAAATATACCCATTTTGTTTCAGATTTCTGAGGATCTCATTCTGTTACAGCATCTCTAAGTTGAACAATCTGCTTAATTGGTGGGCAGTGTGGAGACATTGAAGGGTTTTGAGCATTGAAGTTATAAAATTAGATATGTTCTTTAGAAATTTTAATCTGTGCAGAAAGAGCATTTCATGGAATCTGACACTGTTTCATGATTAAAAAAAACCCCAAAACACCCAACAAACAAAGAAGAGAAGAGAATTTCCTCAGCCTGATAAAGCCCATCTATGAAAAGCCCACAGCAAAAATGATAAGTGGTAAAAGTATGGCATCTTTTTTTTTCCTAAAATAAGATACAAAATAATGATGTCTATGCCCACCATTTCTATTCAACATTGTACTGGAAGTCCAGAGAAGGCAATTAGGCAAGAAAAAAAAATAAAAGTCATCCACATTGGAAAGGAAGAAGCGAAGAAAGCTATCTCCATTTGAAGATAACATGATTTTGCATGTATGAAAATTCAAGAAATCCAGGAAAATTGTTAGATAAATGAGTTCAGCAAGATTGTATGATACAAGACCAATGTACGAAATTTAATTGTATTTCTATACTCTAGTATTGAAAAATTCAAAAATGAAATAACAATTTCATTTACATTAACATCAAGAAGAATAAAATACCTAGAAACAAATTTTACAAAAGAATTGTAATATTTGTACTCTAAAAACTAGAAAACACTGTTGGAAGAAATTAAAGAAGACCCAAATAAGTAGAAAGACATTCCATGTTCATGGATTGAAGACTTAATATTACAATACTCCTGAAATTGCCCAATGGAATCTCTATTAAAATCCCAGCCAGGTTTTTTTTTTCAAAGGTTGACAAACTGATTCTAAAATTTATATGAAAGTGCAAAGAACCAGAATAACCAAAATAATCTTGAAAGAGAACAAAATTGGAGGACACACTTCCTGATTTAAAACTAACCACATAGCTAGATACAGTAATCAAGATTGTGTGGTACTGGCATAGCATATAGATCAATGGGATATAATTGAGGGTCCAGAAATAAACCCTTACTTCCATGGTCAAATGATTTTCAACAAGGATACCAAGACAATTCAATGAAGAAAGAATGGTATTTTTAACAAATGGTACTGGGATAACTGGATATCCACATATAAAAGAATGTGGATATCCACATTCTTATATCATACACAAAAATTAATTCAGAATGGACCATAGACCAAAATGCAAGATGAAAGCAATACAAATCTTAGAAGACAACATAGGAGAAAGTTTTCATGACCTTGGATAGTTAATGATTTCTTGGACTTGACACCAAAAGCATAAGCAACAAAAGAAAAATCAAATAAATTGGTATGAGTCAAAATGAAAAACTTTTATGCCCTGGTTAGGTAGCTCATTTGGTCAGAGTGTTGTCTCAATATGTCAAGGGTGCAGATTGGATCCCTGGTCAGGGCACATACGAGTATTAACCAATGAATTCATAAATAAGTGGAACAACCAATTGATGTTTCTGTCTCTCCTCCTCCCTCCCAAATTAATAAATAAAAAAAAGAAAAACTTTTGTGTTTAAATGGACAAAGTCAAGAAAGAATGGGAGAAATTATTTGCAAAGCATATACCTAATAAGGGTCTTCTATCCAGAATATATAATGAACCCTCACAACTCAACAATAAAAAGACAAGAAACCCAATTGAAAATGAAAAGGATTTAAATAGACAGTTCTCCAAAGACTATGTACTAATGGTCAATAATGCACATGAAATTAGTCAACAGGGAAATGCAAATCAAAACCATGAGATAGTGCTTTACCCACTACGATGGTTATAATAAAAAAGATGGATAATAATGTATTGACAAGAATGAGAGATTATGCAAATCCATTGAGACAGGAAGTAGATTAGAGGTTGCCTGTTGTTGGGGATGGGGGAAAACAGTAGTAACTGCTAATGGATATGGAGTTTCTTTTGGGGATGATGAAATGTTTTGTAACTAGATAATAGTGAAAGTTGCACAAGTCCGTGAATATACAAAAAACCATTGAATGGTACACATTAAAAGTGTGAGCTTTATGGAATGTGAATTGTATCTCAACCCAGCTGTTACTAAGATTAAAAAAAAGCTTAACCTCGCATCAGGCTATAAGTGAATTGGGCTGGATAAAAGAAATAGAAGAACAAGTTAACAGACTATTGATTGACTCTTGCTTAAGTTCAATGTCAGTGATGGTAATGGGGAAAAATGAAAGAATCATAACCAAAGGCAGACATAAAGGATGTAGCAACTAAGTGGCAAGCAAAATGAGAAGGAAAAGAACGAATAGACTTTGTTTCTGGGTAACTTGGAGAATGGTTATGCTATGGAGAAATAATTGGGAGGCTGGTGGCATGGGGGTGTGGAGAGGCAATATGATGTTGGTTTGGAGAACCAAGTGGAATATGAAAAGGCAAAAGCCATTAAGTACCCTTACCTTAAACAACAGCTAACATTTATATAGACCTTCCTACATGCCTAATACTATGTTAAGCACTTAGCATGATTAATTTAATTTAACCCTTACAGCAGCTATATGGCAGGGAGTACAAATATCTGCATTTTACAAATGAGAAAACTGAGACACTGAGAAGTTATATAATTGCCCAAGGTATAATGTGAACTTAAGCTCTTAATTTCTATACCCACATAGCCTTTCTAGACAACAGATAGACATGAGTCATTATATAAATAATATTAATCTCCTCAATTCAAAATTATTATTCATTAATTGCCTATTTACAAACCACAAACAAATCAGCATAAAGTATTTTAGTTTTGATTTATGTAACTTGATTTTGGAATCTATCTGAAAATGAAATGAGCCACCTTGATGGAAAATAAATTATTGTCATTGATGTTTGACACTTCTGGCAGATGGGAAAGACAAGTTTTAGAGAGATTCCTGAGTCAGCCAAGAATAAGACTGATGTCTTCTCACATACCTTCTGAGATACTTCCATCCTTTGTGAACGAAATTTCTGCTCTCCTGGACTCCCTATTAGTTCTGTAATGTATGCAGAGGATTGTCTTTCTGGAGAACTTGAGATTTTACTTCTAGTATGCATTATTAGTTTTGCAGCTATCTTTCTGGCATAATTCCTAAAATTTAATTTGCTAAGGTAATTGTTTTTCTAATAATAGTGGCTCACTCTGTCCCTCTGACATTTAAAATTATGTACCTCTATCACTCATCACTATATGAGATAATTATATTTCCTTTACCTCTTTTTTCAAAAGGAGGTTACACTGTCTGGCATGTTTTCCTATGAACGAGGGGTTTGGGGAAAGGCAGTCATGCACAGCCTGCTGAACTTTGCAGGGCTGTGTAAGAGTGTGCCTTGGGCCCAAACCATTTCCTTATGTGGTGATAATAAACCCTTCACCACTTGTGCTGGGCATATTGCCTTGTCTGGGAATCTCTTCCCTGTTCTGGGTTTGATGTGTTCTTCTTGTTTGGCTTAAAGTGTGTGCATATGGCGTCCCACTGCTATAGCTGTTTGTAGTAGGGAGAAAAGAGGGATCTTCACCTGTAGCGCAAGAGTGTTTAGTGCAGACCTGTGTCAGCTGTGGGGCAAGATGCACTGGCCCTGTGGGATGGAAGCTCATTATTGAGGTTGATCTTACTGGGTCCAGTTACTGGGGGAATTGCGTCTTTGTTGGCAACTCTGACAAGTGCAAACCATGCAATAGATTGTCATCCTGGCATTACTGCTCCTTGCGGTGAGATCCTCAATGTAGAGGGACTTTGTCTCTGGAAGTACAAACAGATGTCACTTATTTAACAATGGCCCAAACTCTTACCTATCTAAAGATGCACAACACCAAAAGCTAAGACCATTAGGCTAATGACAAGCTTTCAAGAACCAAAAATCAAACTCCAATAGTAATGTTTTTTAAATATTGATGAGCAAAAAGAAAAGCCACTTATAATCCCATCACTAAAACACAATCACTGATAAGGTTTTGGGGATTGCCTTTCCAGTTTTTTTTCTTCTTTTTAAATATACTTAAAAAAAGTTTTATATTTACAGAAAAGTTGCTAGGGAAGTATAGAGATTTTCATACACTCTATACCCAGTGCTCTTATTATTGATAGCTTGCATTAAATGGTATATTTGTTATAATTAATGAACCAGTATTTATATATTATTATTGAATAAATAATATATTTTATTGAGATTTCCTTAGTTTTTGCCTCATGTCTTTTCTCTGTTTCAGGATCTCATCCAAGATGCCACATTTTATTTAGTTGTCATATCTCCTGGGTCCTTCTTGGCTATGACAGTTTCTCATGTTTTCTTGTTTTTGGAGCGGTACTGGTCAGGCATTTTGTAGGATGTTCCTTAACTGAGACTTGCGTGATGTTTTTCTCATGATTAGACTGGGTTTCAGATTTTCAGAAAAAAAAGACCACGGAAGTAAATGCAATTCTGATCCCATTATATTAAGGATACATATAACACATGACTTATCAATGTGGATGTTGACCTCAATCACTTGGATAATGCCGTGTTTTTCAGTTTTCTGAAACTGAAAAAGTGACTCTTCTGCAAAGTGACTCTATTCTTCTCTACCCCTTACCCCCAATACTGTACTCTTTGGAAGAAAACCTCTATGCACAACGCAAACTTATGGAGTGGGGAGTTATGCTTACCCTTGCTGAGGGTGGAGTATCCATACGAATTATTTGGGGTCTTCTGCACGGGAGATACATATGTATATGTGTATGTAGGTATGTATGTATCTATATCAATATGAAGTCTGGCTGTGTATTTTTATGCTTTGGGTTATTACCCAGTACTGCTTTATTTTCTTTTTAAAAAATATTTTTTATAGTGAAAAGTCATGATTTTGCTATTGAGTGCCACCCATTGTGCTTTGACTCATATTTCCTCTGAGCTAATCAAAGGGTGTGAGGGCACCCACCAGGGTACTGCACAAAATGAACTCTTCATGAATTTGTGTGTCAGCTTTGTGCAGGGGTCATGCTAATCTTCTCTGTATTGTTCCAGTTTTAATAAGTGTGCTGCCAAAATGAGCACTGGTTTATTTTCTTGCTCAAATTTTTCAGGCTTTGACCATTGGGATCTCTCTCAGTTGGCTCTTGTGTCCTTGTGCTTTGACATATCTCAATAGTTGTAAGTAGTTTTTTGAATACTTTCTTTCTGGTGCTGCAAGATGGTCTAGGTTGACCTTCATGGCCTGGGCTCTAATCACCCATTTCTCCAAGGAGCCCTGGTCCTTTTATTAGAAACAAGACCTGAGTGTTAGATGTGCTCATTGACACTGGGCTACCATTGCTTTACTCCCTTTCAGTTGACAGAGCAAGGACATAATGGTTCAGTTCTAGTAGACGTGTAGAGCAGAATAAAATTGTTAAGAGGTACTCCTATGGGAAACAACTTTGTTAACTAGAGTACAGTATTTATAGGCAACTTTTTTTGCCTTTAGTCTTCTTGTTTTCATTCATTTCTAAAGTTAGTTAGTTAACACCATTCCCCCTACTACTTTTAGTGAAATTGTTTCTTACATGGATGATACAGTTAGGTTCTTTTGTCATGTTCTGCATTCCATGTTGGGATGCCCAAGACCTCCAAAGTGATTTTTTCAGAAACATCCATGTGCTGAGGTTTACTCTTTGTGCCGTAAAGTTTCATGGGTCTTGACAAGTGTGCTATGTATCCACCATTACAGTTTCATATAGGTTAGATTCACTGCCCTATAAATCCCCTATGCATCACCAAACAAGGCTCCTACCCTCCCTTAAACTTCTGCTAACAACTGGTCTTTTTAGAAAGCCTGTTCAGATTGGCTTTTTTCACTTAGCAAAATTCAGTTAAAATAATTTCATATTTTTTATGGTTTGATAGCTTATTTCTTTTTGTTACTAAATAATATTCCATATTTTTTCCCTGAATAATTACACCAAAATATGTTTATCTATTCATCTTTTAAAGAACAATTTGGTTGCTTTTAATTTTTACTTTGAAGTTGCTATAAACTTTCACATGTAGGTTTTTGTGTTAATAATAAGTGTTGAAATCTTTTGAATATGTACTTATGAGTGCAAGACACTGCCAAACTCTTCCAAATGGCTATGCCATTTTGCATTTCCCACCAGCAATGAATAATTATTCTTGCTCTTCCACATTCTCAGCAACAATTGGAATGGTTAGTTTTTTGGATTTTAGCCATTATAACAGCTGTGTAGTAGTATTTCACTGTTGTTTTAATTTGCAATTTCTTCAAGACAACTAATGTTGAGCATCTTTACATATGCTTTTTTCCCATTTATCTTGTTTGGTGAGGTGTCTGTTCAGATTTTTTTTTTTTTTGCCTTTTTATTGACTAGGTGGTTTATTTTCATATTGTTGAGTTTTAAGAGATCTTTGCATATTTTGGATATAAATCTTTTGTCAGATGTGTTTTTGCAAATATTTTCTCTCTCTCTGTGGTTTGTCTTTTGATTTTTTTAACAGTGCCTTTGACAAAGCAGAATTTTTGAACTTTAATAAAGTCACACTTTTTTTTTTCATGGATCATGATCTTGGTATTGTACCTCAAAAGACATCTAAGGCCACATAGATTTTCTCTTCAGTCTTTTTTTATGCCTATACATTCTATCAATATGAAATTATACTACATATACTATATTGTAATTAATAAAATATGTGAAATTTTTCATGTTATTAAATATTCTTCTAGGTCATCTTTGTATTGATTAGTATTCTTTTATATAGATATACCAGTAAGCATTAAATGAACCCTCTAATGTTGAACAATATATTTTTAGATTTACTGAATCATTGTAATATACATATATTTTTAGATTTACTGAATCATTGTAAAATACATATTTCTGAGAAGTTGTTTTAGATTTAAACTTGTTGGACTAAATAAGGGGTGCTTAGTCTCTGGATTGAAACAAAGGCTTTATCCTTTCTTCTCTCTTTTTACCTTCCTTCCACAAATACTTAATGAGTCTATGCTGTGTGTGAGGCCATCAGGGAGTCACTCCATTAGCCTCTGGGGAAACCTCAGTGAACTGGAGTCCCTGTTCTTATGGAGGCTGCATTCTAGTGGAATGGTCATAAAACAGACAGAGAAATAATATTATCTCTGGTAGCGATCATTATAATTAAGGATATAAAGGAGCTAAAGTGGTAGTGATAGGTCATGTGTCCTGAGACTCAAAACAGGGAAGAGAAGAATACATTCAACACTGATAGATTGGAAGAGGATGGTGTTAGGGGTATAAAAATTTTGCTGACATTTTTGAACTGCTATAGTGGGAATAAAGGAAGGGAGGACCAGAAGGTTAGAGAGAGCAGAGTGTATGAATTCAAAAGGGGTGCGATTCTGAGTGGTAAGGTGTGCCCAGTGTGACTGTGAGAAGGAGCGGATAGTATGACAAAGGCCACAGTCAATAGAACTTGGAGGAACTGTGAGACTAGGGCTCTGGATGGCCTTCCACATGAAGTCACAGAGGAAGGACAGGATGGTGGTTGTGCTTACAGTGTAGAGGGAGAATTTGAGCCAGGTCAATTAATGTGCAGGATGGGAGAGAGTGACTGGAGATCAAAATTGCCAGAGATGAGGAAGAATAAAAATGGTATAGCCAAAATGCAGGGTCCTACACTGAGCAGGGCTTCCTACACAAAAGGAAAAAATAATAGTCTGGGAGTGGCACGAGTGACGAAATAAAATGCTGACCTCACTTCTTAATGCCTAGGCATAGATTGAGAAAATGAGCTAGAACAAATTCCTGAGCCTGATGATCTTCAGGAGACAGGTTTTAGGACAAAAAGATGACAGGAGAGTTCTGTGAATAAAGGATGACAGAGAGCTTGTTTCAGTGGAAAAAGGCAGAGCACATGTCAAGTCGGGGAGGAGGGGGAAGCTCTAAAGAAAGCTTTGCTCTGGTAATAAACGGTTAAACAAAATTGCAAGCAGTTACTGATATTTGGAGGAGAACGAAATAGTTTAAATACCCTAAAACGCTTCAGATATAGTCAAATAATTAATTAATTATGACTCATTCAGATTTTATTTAAAGCAATTCCCTTAAAAATTTTGTCTAATTATGGTGCCTTACTCTACTTCCTGTAGTGTGTCCTTGAAAATAATGAAACTCTATTTCTTTAAATGTGCTTGTTATGGATTGAATGCTTGTGTTCCTCTGCCCCCTTCCCAATTCATATGTTGAAATCCTATGCCCGGATGTGATGGTACTTGGAGGTGGGGCTTTTGGAAGGTTGTAAAGTTGAAGCCTTCAAGAATGGGATTAGTGTTTTTATAAAACAGACTCCACAGAGCTCGCTCACCTCATCTGCTATGTGAGAACACAGTGAGAAGATGGCTGTGAGCCAGGAAGTAAGGTCTCACCAGATACCAAATTTGTTGATACCCTGACCTTGGACTTCCTGACCTCCAAAATGGTGAGAAATAAACGTTATTTAAGCCACCAAGTCTATAATAATTTTGATATAGTAACCTGAAGGAACTAAGACAATGCTTAATAATTAAAAAATTACCCTGATACCTTCTTCTAACAGCACGGACCTGTTACTCCCTCTCCAACAACTATTTGGCTTGGCCTTGGCTCTAAACAGAAGCAACTCTTTCTTATTTTCTGTATTCTCTACTCATGCCCCAGTATTTCTTGTGCTTCCTCTCCTCTTCTCCAATGTCTCGGGCAATGTAGGAGGAGGACTCTGGGACCTGCAGAGATGGCTAACCTCACATCCATAGGGGTTGGCAGTATCACTGCCCAAGGAAAGGATAGGTCACCCTTTCCCCATAACTGGAAATGGCAGGTGGCTTTTTTTTTCTTTTTTAAAAAAACCTATAGAGGTTTTTTTGTTTGATTGTTTTATCTATAAAGGTCCTCTTTGTCACATAAAAATGATAGATATTAAGCATTTCACAGTGCTTAGAATCATCCTCTGGGCTCACTAAATACTACTCTAGTGTTAGGGAAGTGAAAACTGCCAAATAAATTTGCCCTATTATGTGGAAATCATTTTGGACTTGAAAGAACCTGAATCTGAATGTATAGTTGTTATCATAAAGTTACTATGTGAGGAAAAGTTGCACATCAAAGATTTGTGTTTTGTGAAGCTCTTTGTCTTAAAAAAGAATATAACATTAAATGTAGTTAAAATATGTATAAATAAAATAAAATAGATAAAATAATTATGAGTATTTTTAAAAAATTAAGTTAAATATGTTTAAAAATAATTATTTGTAAATAAAATATAATCAAAATCATTAGGGAATCTATTATATGTAGTTAGAATAATATTTTGGAAAAAAGTTAAGAACAACATATTATAGCCAAAAGATTAAGATGTTAGCTAGTAATTATTTGGAAAGGTTTTTTTTTTTTTGTCAATTATACTTAAATTGGTTATCAAGAGTTTGGGGTAAGTGCTGTGAATGGATTTTAAGTATAAATATAACCACTTTTTCACTAAAAACCTTTTTTTTCAACTGAAAGGCTGGTAATCTTCTCAGTAACATAAACCTTGAGAAAGACTGACCATTGTCTGAGAGAAGGGGAAGCCCCTAAACCAATACAGAACTTCACGTGTGTATGAGGACTTGGGAACTGGGAATAAAGGTTCAGGCTCAGGTGGTCAGGAGAAAAACCTTGGGTTGTGAGAAGGTAGAAAAAAATTAGAATTATCTAAAAAAAAAAAAGAGTGATTTGTTAAAATGGACTCCCTGTATTAAAAGGAGAAAGGGAGTACCAAAATTGAAATGTGAATATTCCAAAGTTTATATAGGGGAATTCTATGTCTTTGATGTTTTCTTTTGACCTGAAAGTTAAAAATACTTTTTTGTGGGTGACAATGCCTGAGAAAATAATAAGAGTAACAAGTACACTTATGATTATGTGCTGTGATGTCCAGAATGACTCAGAAAATTGATTCAGAATCTTGACTCTATTGGCCAAAGAGGTAATTAGCCAATTCAGGTGTCTCCATATAATAGTTTTGTTAAGACTAACTGAACCCATACTCAGAAATGAAAAATGCTT